GCGGCGGCCGGCTTACCCCTGCCGTGCCCTGGGTGACAAGGAGAGGCTGTAGCCCCTCTGGGGAAACTGAGGCACCCACGAGGGGCCCAGGAGTCCTGCCCAGCTCTAGGGTGTGGGGCAGAGGGGCAGCAGTGTGGTCGATATGGGGCTCTGCCCTCCTCAGGGCGCTGGGATAGTCCCCCGGGGCAGAGTAATGCCCTGCGGACGAGGGGGAGCGGGGACAGACGGGGGGGCAGGATACAGCCCCCTTGCAGCAGCCGCTGCGGGGTGCGCCCAGATTGTGCGTGTGTAAGATTTGGGGGGTGGAGGAATGCATCCGTCGGTGTGTGCGTGCGTACCTGTATGTGTGCACACACCTGGGGGTGCATGCACGGGTGTATTTGCCACGATGGGCGTGCATGCGTGTGTAGAGAGCTGGGGGAGGTGTACATCTGTGTGTGTGCGCGTGGTTGTTGTGTGTGTGTGTGTGTGCATCCGTGTGGGTAGGGAGCCCCATGTGCACATAAGAGTGTGAGAAGGGTGTGTGGGGCTCAGGGGTGTGTAAGGAGCTGGTGTGCGTGTGCACCTGTGCGTGTGTGTAGGTGTAGAGGGGAGGTGGGGAAGTGTGTGTGCAGCTGTTGGTACAGGTGTAGCATCTGTGTGTGTGTTCCTGCTGTCAGAGAGAGAAGGGCAAAGACATGAGAGCAACACACACACACACACACACACACACACACACACACACACACACACACACACACACACACACACACACACACACACACACACACACACACACACACACACCCCTCTCGCTGTAACACACCCGGGCACACAACTTGCACCCAGGCACGTGCGCACAACCGCACGCGTTCACAAGCGCGCACACACACACACAGTTCTGCACTATCTCACACACACGGAGGAGCGCACCAGGGCTCAATCCGGGTTGGTTCCAGGTCAGAGCCGGTTCGGGACTGGGGCCAGATCCAGGCGGGAGCTGGTTCGGGACTGGGACCAGATCCAGGTCGGAGCCGGTTCGGGACTGGGACCAGATCCAGGTCGGAGCCGGTTCGGGACTGGGACCAGATCCCGGCCGGAGCCGGCACAGG